TATATAGTTTATATATTTAAATAATTTATTGAAATACAATTTACACAGAGTAAAAGGAGCAGATTGAAAGTTTAAAAGCTTGGTCAGGGGTACACATCTGTGTAAGCAACATGTTAATTAAAATAAATGTGTCTCTCTAGAAAGCCCCTCTGAGTTCATCCCTCCCTGCAGAGCCAAGTCTGTTCTAACGTCTCTCACCACAGATAAGTTTTGTGGGCTCCAAACTCCCAAGAAATAGAATCATACATGATGCTCCCTGGGATCTGGCTGCTGTCACTCAGTGGCGGGATCCACACACATAATCCTGCACATCCGTTGTCAGCCTTTGTCGTCCTGGAGCTCCATTGTCTAAATATACCACAACTTATTTATCCATTCTCCTGCTGGTAGACAAGTGACTTGTTTCCAGTTTGGGGCTGTTATAATAAAGCTTCTTCAGTTTCTTGTACTGATCATTCTGCAGACAGTTTTCCCATCTCTCGTGCAGGTAACCAGGAGTAGATTTGCTAAATCACAGAGGAGATGTAAAACTTTAAATATTACCAGTTTCTCAAAGTGGCATCACTGTTTTACCTTCCCACTGGCAATGTGTGAAAGTTCTGGTTGCTCAAATTCTGTATTATTTTTGTTAGGTGGTAATATCAAGATTCCTAAACCCTAAGAAATGATTTGGGAAGGCTCCCATGTTTCTTCTATGCTCCAAAGTGTTTCAAATATTGAAAGATGTATTTGTTCCTCCCCTGATATCTGCTGTGTGGGGTCACCAGGGTTTATGTGCTTACTGCAGCTGCCCAGATGGGTGGGTGGGTCCTCTTCCTGACCCCAGGACCTCACTGCAGAACATGATGTCTCGTCCACTGGGCAGAGGCAGTGGAAGCATCAGCACCCCCTTAATAGAATCCCCAGAAAGCTCTTAACATTTATAGCGTGTAGGGACAGAGAAGTCAAAGACTTCATTAGAAAATCCTATATATAACTTTAAGAGGGAAAAGCCAAGAAATCAAACTAGAAGTTTAGACAATTCTTCAAAATGGTTGCATGTGAAAAGATACATCGAGAAGAGAATATATGGTTGTTGATATGCTGAGGTAAACGGTCTCTAAAGAAAGAGAAGGAATCATTACTTATTCTCGTAAAGTCCTTACTTACCCACTAAAATGTGAACTCAATGAAGGCAGGAATTTCTTCCCTCTTTGATAACTACTGTTTGACAAAGAAGTAGAAAAGAGCCTAGAATTCAGGAGGCGCTTATATTTGTGAATGATTAAATAACAATTAAGGGGAAATCAATCAATAAATAATGGGGCAAAAGGTAACTGTTGGAGGTGATGGAAGAGTTTGTGGTCTGATTGTAGTGGTCTCACAGACATACACTTGGCTCAAAACTCATCAAGTTGTATACACTAAACATATCCAGCTTTGTGTATGTCAACCACACCTTAGTACATTGATCGTGTGAACTAAAATAAAATCTCAAGGCTTCCCTCCACCCAGTGACTGACAGAACCCCCTTCTTGGCCAAGGGAATTCCTAAAACTGAGTTTTTAGCCATTAAAGAGGAGATGAGACAGGCCGCATAATGCCTCCCCCCCTTGGAGATGTCCTCTAAGATTCACTAACAGGCCTAAGGCTATGCAAGTTCCTCAAAATACACAACAAACCACTTGAGTCTGTCCCTAACTTTATCTGTAATTAACACCCCCTTTATCTTAAGCATTCCTTTTCACTGACTCCTGTTCTTTTAGACAGAGCCTAACTCTTTCAGCCAACTGTCAGGTGGAGTCTTTAAACTCCCCTATAACTTGTAATATTCTCTCCAAATATTCCCCCCAATTTTCCCCTTCACCAGAAAAGCCCTTCCGTACCCTATGGCCTTGATGAAATTCTACTTCTCCTTCCACAATCTACTCACTTATTAACCTCTCTGTGTTTAACTAACCCTATCAGAGAAGATCTGGGTAAGGGCACCAGATAACAGCAGTAAGGTCCTTACTCTTTGCTGTGTGCCACAATTCTGTCCTCAGATATTCTGGTGAGATAGCCGTCCTTTCCGTTTGAAAATTCAGAAACCAATGTTCAAAGAGATTGAACTGCTCAAAATAACATAGAAAATTGGTGGTCAAACTGAAATTAAGCCAAGATGACTTGAATGTCAACCTTGTACTCTTTTCCCTACACCATATGGCTTTCTAGAGCAATCCTTCCCTTAACTAGGAAACATTTATCTTTTGTATTCCAATTATTTTTATCTTTTAGTACAATGTGAGCCCCTTGAGGGGAGGGATTGTTTAATTCCCTTTTTTACTGAAATGATTATAAATGAGAGTAAGAATTTATTCCCAGTTGAAAGGGAATACTATAGCTATTTACAGTTCTAGTGCTGAAAGAATTCCCTATTAGATAATTTTAAGTTAAATACAACCTATTTCCTCAAAAGTCAGGATTCCAACAGTCCAAAGCACCCTGTTCAGTCTGATCTTAGGCAAAGTACAAGTATGGAGCAGCTACTCTGGCCACCTGACTTTCAAAAAGGTGCCATCAGCCTGAAGAAATAAATGAAGTCTTTGAGGACGATTCTAGTTCGTCAGAGACACAGAAGATGGAGGGGTTCTTAGTAATCTGCCATCTTGCATCCTGGCAAGAAATGACAGCCTTGGAGAATAAAAGCAAAGTATATTTTTCAGTCTGCTTCATATTTCTTACATAAATAATTGACAAGTTTTTCTTTTTCATTCTATTCTATTCTAGTGGTAGGAAATAAAGAGGTAGGAACCAACATGCCATAGGGAAAATAAATCAGAGTGACAAGATAGAAGTGGTAAGGGTGCTGGTGGGGTAAATAAAAGGAGAGACCTGAAGGAGGTTCTAAGAAAAAACAGGCCAGTGTGGCTAGAGTTTGGTAAGTAATGGGAGTAACTGGTGGGAAATGAAGTTAGAGTACCAACCAAAGCTTGGTTAGTACCAGCAACAGCCCATGTTCAAGTCTTTGGCTGTCATAAGTGATGACAATCCAGTGGTTTTGACTAGGAGAGTAACACAATATGACTTGGATCTTCAAAAATAGACATGATTTGGAGAATAGAAAGTTATAAAGTAAGAGCATCAGGAGGAAGGCCATGGAGGTCACCGAAACAACCCAGTAAGGAGACAGAGATGCTATTGGTGTGGCATCTGTGTCTGGTAAGGTGTGAAAAGTCATACTCTGAATGCATCTAAAGCTCTAGCTAACAAGTTCCACTGTGTATTAAAGGTATGAGAACAGATGGAATCCAGGATGAGCCTGTGGTGATTAGATGCACTAGCAAGGAGCGAAATACTGAAGAAACTATGAGAAACCAAGAGTTCTATTATGAAAAATTTACAGATGAAATTATGTGACCTAGGATTACCTCCATCACTGATAACTAGAAACTGGGTGATGTGCCCACGCAGGGTCATTGTGATATTATCTTTTGTATGTTTTAATTTCTCTATAATAAAACTTTTTTTATTTGTTTTTGAGACAGAGTCTCTCTCACTATGTCGCCCTTGGTAGAGTGTCATGGTGTCACAGTTCACAGGCACCTCAGACTCCTGGGCTCAATGAGCCATTCTCTTGCCTCAGTCTCCTGAGTAGCTGGGACTACAGGTGCCCGCCACAATGCTTGGCTTTTTTTTTTTTTTTTAGTTAATCATTGTTGTTTAGCAGGCCCAGGCCAAGCCCCAGAGTATGTGGCTGGCGCCATAAGCCCTGAGCTACAACAGGCACCAAGCCAATAAAACTTTTTAGAATAGTAATAAACATACTAAGTTTGAGAAGCCCTTAGATGTCATGTGGAGGCATCATACAGATAGATAGATAATAAGTAGTTCAGCAATGAAATCAGGGCTAAAGAAATGTGAGAATTATCAGTAAATTTAAAGCCATGGAACAGGATGAGAATACTTACCGTGTGAATAAAAACAGAAAATAGGTCCAGCAATAGGACATAATTTAGGTCTAATTGTTGTGAGAAACTGAACTCTACAATATTTAGAGATTTGCAAAATGAGAAGAATTAAAAAAAATGTCTTCCTAAGATTTATCAGTTTATATCAAAAGTCACCGAAAAATACATAACTTTGAAACAGTACTTCCACTTCTACGAATGTATCCTGAGAAATGAACAGGACCAGTATACACAGACAACGTAAAAGATTTCCTACAGAGCTGAATCAGGAAGAGAACAAAAGGGGCTGGTGGGATGGCAAATAGCCCAAAAAGTGAACAGGAGTGGGCCAGCTAGACACACTACAGGACACTGCATGGAAAACTGGTCAGCAGTTCAACTGGATTAGGTATATTTTAGTGACCTGTAAATATTTTCACAATTCACTGAGAATAGCTGATTAAATTAAGCATTAGAGTTTACATTATGCATATTTTTTGCATTAAGTATTTATTTTATTTTTTCCTTACCATTGATAAGGTAAAGTAGTAAAAGGTATTATCTTTGGTAGTAAGATTATGGCCTTCCCTCCACATTTTCCTGTATATTTCAATTTTTCTCAATAGACATAAAAATATACATTCAAAAAAAATTTTTTTTGAGACAGAGTCTCACTATGTTGCCCTCATTAGAGTGCAGTGGCATCACAGCTCACAGCAACCTCAAACTCTTGGGCTTAAGTGATTCTCTTGCCTCAGCCTCTCAAGTAGCTGGGACTACAGGCGCCTGCCACAACACCTGGGTATTTTTTGGCTGTAGTTGTCTTTGTGTTTGGCAGGCCTGGGCTGGGTTCAAATCCGCCAGCTCCAGTGTATGTGGCTGGCACCCTAACCACTGAACTATAAGTGCCAAGCCTACATTCAAAATTTTTAAGAAAACTCACTCAGTAATGTGAAATTCAAAGGACATTAAAAAGAGACCTGATTCAAACCAGTCAAAAGTTGTATTGACACCATTAAATCTATTGTTGAAGTAATTACTGTGAATTGTTTTAAAATAAAGTAACAGAACATAAGCAATTATTTTAATAGCAACAGTATATTAAATATTTTATTTAAATTAAGAAGCATAACAAAAATCACATACATTTGTTCCACTGTTTGGATAAAATTTCCAATTACTTTCAAATAACTTATACATAGTACCTCACATATTAAATTCCATACATTTCAATATGGTCATGAAAGCATATTTTCCAAAATATATAAGCTGTATTCCCAAGTTTAGTATACTATAAATCCAGACATAATAAATACTATACACTTCAACTTTAAGTAACCTAATTATAAAAGTCATTTTATAAAGTCACAGCAATTTTCTTCTCCCCAATCAAAGTTACAGCACACCTGCCACGTGGATACCAAATCAGGGCTGATAGCTGGGAAAATCATCTCTTGTGAATGCTATTCACACTGGAGTAAAAACTCACGTAAAAATACTTTAAAACATGTTCTATTTCAGACAAAAAATTAAATCTAGGCTATTTTTCAAATTGCAAGATTTATTTTTTTAATAAAGCCAATTTATTTTTCAGTTTCTAGACCATTAAGTCTTATTCATCTTCCCTAATTTAGCTAAGAACATCTTTGACAAGGTTTTAATGTGCTTGCCCTTAAACTTAAAAAAAAAAATAAAATTGTTTACAACATTTTATATTTAAAAGAGGCATTCTAGCCTTGATGTAAAGACATATTCCTACAAGTGCAATTATAGCAATTCTGTCCTTTATTCTTGTAATGCTTTAATTAGATTAAAAACCATTATTAAATTTTTTGACTTCTGAGCCACTACCTTTAATGACTTTTTAAAAATGTATTTAATATCTGAGTCAAAATTATAGATTTCTATATGGATATTATGCAGACACCTCTTCTTTAAACTGTTCATTTCTTCTTGGTTATAAAACTCATCAAATACTACACTACTAAAATACTTTTTTTCCTTCTTGACTGTGAGCCATTCAGTGTCTTTTCAAACTTAAAAGTTAAAATTGATTTCCTGTATCCAATAATACTTTTTAAGGACAGATTTTTAAGAGTCAAAAATAAAATGCAGTTTAGTATTTTATCATTACTCTCTATTACAATGAGCCTGCCAAATCAGAGGCTTTCTCCACCAGGAAAACCAGCTCAAATCAAATATTGATTTTCCTCCTGTAATTCATGTTTGTCTATTGAATCAGTTACCCAATCTTCTTTAAGAATTTTAAACTTTCTTTTCATCTTTCTCCTAAAAGCTTTAAAATTTGCAACACGACTATGATCCTCCCCAATGATGACATGAGACACTCCCTCAGCTAAACAAGAAACTACTTTTGCTCCGTGAAATCGAAGCTCCAAGGCTTTAATAGCTAATCTTGTTCCCTCAGTTCTCGTACTCAAGTCATTAATAACGGTATACAAGTCCAAATAAATGGTGTGGCGCCGAAACAGACTGAGAGGAGAGTGGTCCCAGGAATATCGATATTCTAAATCGGCAATCACAGAAGCCATTTCTTTCGGAGTCTGCTTATTAGAACTTCTAATTCCTGAGAATACTTCCTTCAGTTGGTTCAAATCTGTATCAACAAAATAACTATCACCATAGCAGTCGTATTCACGGGCAAAATGTTCTTTGGTGGATGGACACATATGGATCATAAAGCGAGGCTGCCACGGCACACAGGTTTTGGTCTTAAAACACTCCAAAAGCCAGGCAGGTTTGACCACATCATGTTCATTTGAAGAAATGATGTTCTTCACCCTGATGTTCTCAGACCCTGCAATCACACAGTACGTGTCTGGACCTGGATTTTGTACTATATAACCCCCAAATTCTGCAATTCTATTCTCCAGGTCAGGCTTGGGATGGCTGGCTGTTCCATTCATAACACAGAACTCAACGTCTTCAAACACATTAGAAACTTTGTTAATATTAGACAGGTTAGGCGCTTTTAAATGTTCAATAACTCCAATGACTTTCTTTATCTTTGGGGCAGCTTTCCGCTTTTTTTCTTGTGGTTCATCATCAATACCTACAAAAAAGTGTTTTGAGGCAAGCTTTCCAGATGCTTTCCCCCTAAGCTGCTCCAAGTCATCCAGAGTCATGCATTCGTGCCACTCCTTGTCATCTCTTATCTTTTCAATTCGTGGAAAACGCAACGTGCAGCCAGTTTTGTACATGTCACTGGGGACAATCTCTGCTGCCTTAACCTGAACAATGACAGAATTACAAGGCTCAATGTACACTTCTGGCTTCTCTGTTCCACATAAAATGCTACTTGGTGGAGCTTTTTTATTAAATGGTTTCCAATGTTTGGCCAATTTCAAACCCAGATCATACAGTTCTTTCATGGTGTAACCAGAGCCAACACGAGACAGTGTATGAAACACAGATGGCTTTTCCCCAGGAGGGGGCTTCTCTGCTACTGCACACAAAAAATGAGACATCATCCCACCCCGTGATCCTTTTCCCCAATAGCCTCCAACAATTAAGATGTCCAATTCATCCATTAGTCCACTGACATACTCTGGCTTAATTTTTAACCACCCTTCACCTCTTTTGTCTGGCTTGTAAATGGACAGAGGATGTTTTATCATGACTCCCTCTTCCCTTTTGTCAATTGCTTCATTCAATGCATCAATTACCTCGTTCTTACTGTGAGCTTGTGTCTTCTGCACTATTTCTATTCTACCTGGTATTGGGGTCAAAATACTGCTAAGGATCTCATGCCTTTTTCTCAGGGTCTCATGTGCTAGCTTTTTATTATTAACCATCAATACATCAAAAACACAGTAACAAGTTTGCAGATCAGAATCTTCTACCATTCTTTTAATATCAAACTTAATTCCCTTTTGCATGAAGGTTTGTGTGTTAGGGTTGTAGGCCATCATCTCACCATCAAGAATACAGATTTGTACATCTGTTTTGAAGGCATTATGAATGAATGGGGAAAGAGAACCTTTATCTGGAGAAGCACCAAACTGTTCAGTATAGTTATACCCATTTCTGGAGAAGTATTCGTATACAGTCCCATCTTTGTGCATCTGTATACGCTCTCCATCTAGCTTGGTTTCGATGTAGAAACTCTGGTGTTTCATGTCCTTCTCAATGCGCTCAATGTCTGCGATAGCAGCTAGCATTGGTTTAAAGGCAGAAAATAAAGTGATGGAAATATCACTGAGTCCTACAGAAGGATCGTGCAGTTGCCTACAGACCTTTTCCAGGTCTGTGCTGACATTATGCAACTCAACAGCATCATTATGAAAAACAGAAAATACAGTTTGCTGACTAACACCAAGCTTTAAATCTTTTAAGATCATCCGGATAAGCCACTTTTGCTCAAGTGCTGAACTCTGACTTATAAGTTGAAGAAGACTCTTCTTTACTAGGTCTTTTCTTTTAGCAGAATTATTGCTGGCAACAGAGTCTAAAAGGTCATTTACTTGCTGTATAGTTAAACTTCCTTTCTTCAAACATCTTGGCCTCAACACAAAGTATGCAATCATTGCAAAGTCTCCAGCATCTCCACGAGTTCCAGTGGGTGTTCTGTAATTTAAAAGTTTAAGGGCATCTTTTCCTTCTCTGGGCAAATTAAGCAATTCAATATAAAGCTTAGCAAGCATCGTTTCCTTGATTCCATAGGCCATTCTCTCTCTTTCTAGCTGAGGAAGAATGAGTCTCATTGCTGGGTAAAAAGAGTCTGTCACATTTTTTTGGTTCTTATGAAGGGCATCATGAAATTTTCTCCAAGAATCTAAAAATTCCCTGAAGTGTCTGATTTTTTCTTCACGTCCTTTACTTTTCTGTATTCGTTCTAAAGTTGAACATAAATCTGCGAAAGGAACATGAGATGCAACAACAGTATGTGAAGTCTGCGAGGCAGCCATGGACGCCACGGATGGTGACTCCTCTTGTGTAGCTGCTAAAGCAAAAAATGAACAGCTGTAAGTAAAGGATAAAATTCAACTAAATATATGATGTAAAGACTTTACAGAGATGACCTGGATCATAATACATGTTTATTAATGTTGCTAAATGAAAATAGATCAACGTCATAAGTGACATATCTTTTCAACCTCTACATTTAATAACTATTTTACTTTAATCCTAATTGGAACTTATGATCAAAATTATCCCCAGCTCTATTTCCTACATTTATAATACTGAAAAATCATTTCTATTTTCTCCCTAAATTGTAACTTTCATTGAATTATTCTATTGTTTAAATATTTACCACATAATACAAAAGAATAGCACTAATAATTCTGACAGAAAAAATAAGGCTCAATTCACTTCAGTTCTCAGCTAGTGAGGTAAGGTCCTTTACCGAAAATGTCTCTTCTTTCTCTGCCAAACTACCACACAGCACTAGAAACAAACTTCTTAAAATAAATATTTTTAACAAATCACTTGTTCACTCAATTGAAATTTGACTTCCTAGGAAGTCTGAAATCCCAATCACAGGTAGGGCCCTGCCAGAAACAAAAACAGTAACCTTCCAGCCAAACATAGCCACTTCTTGCCTGAGAGCAATGCCAAACAAATCACACCAACATTCAAAACCCAACTCACAATACTTGCTCATAAAGTCCTCACTTTGCCTATTTATCACAGTTACTTACCATTTTATAACTATAAATTTATTAGTACACCTTTTTGTTCACATTCCCATGCCAGTTATTCCCCAAGAATGCAGTGACTTACATATGAGCCAGGCACTGTGCTATGGACAAATATGGTATGTTTCTGCTTTAAAATTACATGTATTCTATTTTTTTTAAGAAAAAAACTACTGAGAACTAATTATAATAAAGTGCTAAATACACTGACAAAATAAAACATACGTAAAATGTTCTGAGATATTTTTCCAAAGTATCCTCTAAAGTTAGAGAAGAAAATAATAGGCACCTTGCTGTGATAGGGTATAGAATGTTTCCTAAAATGGTGACAAGTGGGAAATTACTTTGAAAATTTAAATAACCATACACGTTCCATCGGAATGTATAATATATTATAATTATTTTAATATGGTTTAAACTACATGACATTAAAATAACTTTTCCAAAAGAGACTCCAAGTAAAATATGCACTCCAGGAATATAAACTATGTTTTCTCTTGTGGTTTCAGATCTCTCCTGGCATAATACCTGGTACCCTGGGAAGCAGAGTGAGGGATGCTTAGCTGGAAGTGGGGAGATCTGTTAGAGGGCAGAGACCATAAAATTCCCCACCCCAGCAAAGAAAACAAACACACACATACACCTAGCACAGTCATGTTATCACTTAGTATACAACAAAATCAATCAAATGGCTAATAGGATACCACACTTATAATACTAAACTGTCAGTCCCTAGAGTCCAGAAATGGGGTTTTAATTTGTGCTACTTGTAGCAGATACATGGTAGGTGTGTTTGCTGAATGAATTACTGAACACAGAATTGATTCCTGGAAAAGGACACTGGCAACGCCCACGGCCTGGCTACACACACACCCCCACACCCAACAAGCCTCGTGGGATTCAATGTGGTTGAAAATATTCAGCAGCTCTGACTGCACAGGCAACAGTTCACAATAGCCATTTGGGCCTAAAGAGAAAAAAAAATGCACTTCTCAATCTACTTTGTAACAAAGGAAACCCAACTTCTGAGTATGTTAGATCAAGGAATAAACCCACAAGAGACCTCTTTCCTTAGACTTTTATCGTTGTATGCAGTAACTGCTTCCTCTCCCTGAATCTGGTTTGCATAACTGTCTGTACCACCTGGTCATACAAGTTCACTGACCTACTTCTCAAAACACAGGGTACATAATGGTTCATAACGGTATATTCACAATTTACATATAATCCAAATAAAATAAAGCATGTTAAGAAATACGGTTTTGAATGTTTAACTATATACAGTACATAATTTCTATATATCTTCCTGTAGATTCTATATGGTCTCAGAATCAAAGTTTCTCTCAAAATATCCCAGGGAAAAATTCAAACTACTGTAGAATGATAAAATGTAGGTAATAACACGGTTAACCACATATCCTAAAATGGCTACACTGATAGTAAATATCCCAAAATTACTATAAAATGAATATGCATATATATTTTTGCTCATTACAATTCCATAAAAAGTCAAAGGTTAGGACTTACATTGCATTTTACATGCTAATTTTATTTTATTTTTGGATCCTAAGGTTTTTAACTAATGCTTTCCATCTGCAATAAGACAAAGTTTGTGGTTAGGGTTCAAAGTTCTGGAGTCTAATCTGAGTCCACATTTGATAGCTGTGTAATACTGGAGAATTACTTAATTTCTCTAAGTTTCAGTTTCCTTAAGTGTAAAATGGGGTTAAAAACTTTGTAGAAATTGGGATGAGGATGAAATAAGATAACCTACGTAAGGTGCTGAATACAGTAGTTAAGTGTTTGGAATTTTAGTATTATAATGCTTGCTGACCCAAGCACATTTAAAACATAAATATTGTAAAATACTAAGCTGAAAATACTAAGCTCTATAACAGTGGCAAACAAAGCTTTGAAGAGAATGAGTGGGAGTAATTACTACACAATAATGACTCGTGATCCACTCAGCTACTGCCTGTATTGTCCAGAAATGACACAACAAAGAAAACTAGCAGGTTTTATCCAGTGAATATGGAAGATGATTCAGTGCTACTTTGTGGCAAGAAAAAAAAGAGAAAGCGTCAACTTGACATTTGACACAAGGCTTCGCAAGCTGCTTCCCTATGAAACGGAGGTTTACAGTTGCCTGCCTTCCACAGCACTTGGTGACGAGTTGGGAGGATCGCAAGCGGAAAAACATCTTTGGTACAGAAGGCAAAAAGGACTCTGGGAACCCAGAAGTTAACGAAAGACAAACTGTAAAAAGAGAAAGTAATTCCCTATGTCGGGTCCACGTCAGGTCCCCTCGTCTACCCCGGCGCAGTGAGGGGTTTACGTTACCCGCCGCCGCGGCCCCTGAGCCCTCGCGTGTTCCGAGTCAATGAACATCCAGCCTCGGGCAATGAACATCCAGCCTCGGGCAAACCCTGTTACCTTTGAGCCCGAGGCGTCCTCTGTAAAATGCGGTCTTGCAAGTTTCTCGCGGGGTTGTCGCCAGAAGCAGAAAGCAGTCAGGAGAGCAGGCAACACAGTTCCAAGAGTCCAAAAGAGGGAGAAACTGTCTGCCCTGGTCCCTCGTCCCTCGTCCCAGGTTCTGGAGCTAGATAGTAAGCCCTCAATCCAGAGCTTACGTTTCTAACCAGCAGAGCAGCGGGCAGCGCGGGAGCCTCCACCTGCCGCCACACAGACGCCTCGGGGCCGCCCCACACAGCACCCAGCTGACCGCAAGCCTGACGCTTACAGACCAAACCGGAAGCTGGAGTCGGCAGAAGCCGGTTCCGCCAGCTGCTGGCCGCGCAGGCGTAGCGGTTACCCAAAAACTCCCCTCCGAGGGCCCTGACGTCACGCGAACAATACACGCAGGCGCAGTGGCGACCAGAGCGCCCGGAGGCCGTGACGTCACGGGAACGGTGTGCACAGGCGCAGCTATGCTGGAGTGGACAGGAGAGAGTCGCCCGCCCCGCCGCGGAGGCGGGACTCGAGCGAACCCGGTTCAAGTTGTGACTCAGCATATCTCCCGTTAGTCTGCAGCAGGTGCTTCTCTGTAAACGGTTTCCCCACAGACAAGTTGTCGTCGGGCGAGACTAAGATTATTTTGTACGTTGGGTTGATACAAGGACCCTGAACCCTCCCGCCCCCTTAGCAAGTAGTTAAGAGTTCTCATTCTGTGCACGAAAAACAGTGGTAACTACTCATTTTTTGCGAGGACATCCTCTCACCCAGAACGTGCACTGTTTCACTTAGAAAAATAGGCTTTTCCAAAACTAAGGCTGTTTGGTTTCTCATTTTTGTAACTGTGATCTGCGTTCTTGTCTCTTCATACAGAAATAATACGTAATTCATAACAATACATAGTTTATAACACGGAAATAAGCAGCTGTATGTCCAGAAATAAACTATGGACTCTTCTCAAGGGTTCAAAATAAAGTTACTTGACAAATCTTTATCGAGCCTCTTATGATGTAGTAATTGTGCGAGATATTCAAGATTGGGCGATGGAAACGCACTCAGTTTTTGTACTCCAGGAGCCGTTGGTTTCCCCTGAAATGTTGCTGTGCTCTGCCTCCTTCTACCATAGAGAAATAAGAAATGAGAAATAAGATTAGGGTAAAATATTGTTGGTTTAAGGTGAAAATGAAATTTTGCTGCAATGGGCTGTAAGAAATTTTAGAGCTGTGAGTGTCCTTAGAACTTGTCTAATGTACAAAAATTTCATTTCACAAAACCGACACATATAATTTGCAGTGCTAGTTTGTAGGGGAGCTAGGACCTAGGGTTCCTTCTAGTCCAGCAAAATTCAGTTATTTTCTTTGCATGTCTAATTCACCCTAATATTTTTCTTAAATCATCTGCAGTGTTGTAAAGTCATATAATACTGTTTGCTGATTAAATCCTCACCTATAGTTGAATTTAATTATCAATTTACTTTAGAGGAGCACTCAATAGTGTTCTGTTGGAAGAGCCTCCCGGTGCCCTTCAGGTAAAGGGCCCCTTGTCTGTATACATCTGTACCATGTTCAGCATCTACTGAGCCACTCATTTCCCTTTCCTCCTGGACCCTACCTAACACTCCTGCAGTGTCAGAGACTGGATTTTGTGTTAGTGGTATGAAAGGAACCATGCATTAGGATACCAGACAAACTCCAAATTGATTCAAAGTCCAGTACTCATTTTATCATGTTAAATGTATTTTAGGTGCTTGGTTCATAGAAAATCAAGGGGTTTTCCATTAAGTAACAATGTCTTTTAGAATTGCTGTGATTATTGTTTTATTTTTGTAAATGGCCTAATTAGTTCTTGGCACTTATTAGGTAATCAACAACAGGAAGCTATGAATCAAGTGCCCAGCTTTGACCTGGCGCTCTCCATCTCCTACCAGTGCCACCGATAGGGGAGGGTTTTTGCTTAAGGATGCACACATGGTCAAGCCAGCGATGGTGACAAGTTTACTGAAGCAAAAATACACTCTCAGGAAAGGGAGGGCAAGCTGGAAAAGGGGCTGCAGTAAAAAGAAAGTACACTATGGAGAAGAGAGAGGGGCAGGCTGGGAAAGAGCCGGTGCCCCAGAGTCTAGGTGTTGGTGTTAGTGTTAGGGTGGCCCAGTGAGGTTTGGAGGATTTGGATTTCCCTGAAATAACTGAAGAGAACAAGAGCAAGTAACGTTTTAGCAAGAAAGGAAATGTTTAACAGCTTGGACAGCAAGCAGGGCCTATCCTAGAGACTGCAGGCATCATGGAGAGCACTGTACTGGATTTTATACACAACTTTTGAGGGGTGTCAGCTGCTCCTTGGAAATTTCCCAGGGTCTTGATCATCTCTGTTCCCCTAAAAACTTGTATCTATCTGTCCATGTCAGAAAGTCCCAGGGACATTAATCAGTCCTCCAAAACGACCAGCTCCCCCAAACAACTCATCTGCAAGCTCTTGATCAGCTCATTCCCATAAGAGCTTAAGCCAGACAGACCCAAGCCAATCCAAAATAGCCTCCTAAACACACCTGCCATCCACTCGCTCTTATCTAACTACCTATCATTAGCAACCTTTCATTTTCTGCAGTGGGAGGAAAGGTGATTAGTGTTTGTATTGTTCCATTTTTGTCCGTTAGTTAGGCCTTTTCCTCCTTTGATCTCTTTCCTGTTGGCCATATCCATAATTCCTCTGTTTTCCTCACCCGGGAGAGGTCAACCCTGCAATGCTAATTTATTATAATTACAGAATAATGAGGGAAAGCTTACTGGAGGTGACACCTGTCCTGCACCTGCCGCATTCGTCAGTGCTGGGCCATCCTGAGTTTTTGCAGTTCTTGCTTTGCTGTGAAGTGACCACAGGTCTGGCGCTGGTTCCAATCAAGATTACTAACCTCTCCCTTCTCCCCTCCCTTGTTCAAGTCTGACTACTCTTCACAGTAGGATGAATAATTAAAAGACAAACAACAAAAAACGAATGAAACATCCTCTATATAAAATAGAGTCCATGGTATAGGCAATGCCCAAGGGAGGAGGAGGCAGGCATGTGAAAGCAAACAACTCAGTACAACCTGGAGCACCAGGCGGTTAACAGCGATGCTAATAAAGCCCAGGTGCCAAAGGACCATTTGCGTGGCTACTTCCAGGCCCTGGAACACGTTCCCATGGTCCTGCACTTTTGTAAAGTTGGCAAAAATGAGATAATTCTGCATTCTTTCCCTTTAAAAGCGTTCTCCAGATTGTACAAGGTTCAGCCCTCAAAATCCTGCATCCGCCCTTACCCTGACAGCACACTCTTGATAGAGGTAAGGAAGAGAAAAATAGCTCTGGAAAAGCTTTAAATCCTGGAACAAATTGAGACGCCCCTGTCCCCTCCCCCCAACAACTTTATCAAGCAGACACAATTTCTTCCGTAAAAACTGCGTCTGGCAGAACGATCTAGTGAGCGCCCGGAGGTCACCGGGTCCGGCTCCTCCTGGCACTTCGGTGCGGAACCTGAGGTCCTCCCGGTGCCGAGCGGGGAGGGACAGGCGCTCCTCAGGTCGCAGGCCAGACGCCCACAGCCACCGAGGTATCTTTTCCGTCCGAGCCACCGTCTGCGACAACCAGACGGCTTCTGCGCATGCCCGGGAGCACGGGCAGGGTTCCCACTCCAGGAAGGAAGGCGGAGAGTAGGTTATGCGGGTGCCGGCGGGGGCATTTGCCGGCGACACCCGAGCGGGAGCCGGAAGTGGGGCAGCTGAAGAGTCGCGCTACAGGAGCTCGGGGCTAGACCGTGGCGACGGCAGCGGCCCCTCAGCGAGAGGAGGACGATGAGGAGCGACGGAGGCGGCGCAGGGGGACGCTGCTGCGCGGCGCCCGGTTTCGTGCCCGCGGCCGACTGCGCAGCCTGCCAGCAAGTCTGAGTAAGTGCGGCCCGGGGACGCGGAGCTCGCGGGGCCCGAGCGCCGGGTCCGCGCCTTCGAGGAGGGTCGCGGGCAGCCGCCCGCTCCTCACGGTGGGCGCGAAGCCCTGGCGGGAGGCCGGGAAGAGGCTGCGGGGCCCAAGCGGCTTCCCAGGGCGGCGTGCGGGGGCCGAGCGCCGGGGGCTGTGCGGGACCCGGCCCCGGGCGCCGCGCCTGCCCGCGTAGCAGCCGGTGTCGGCCGCCCTGACCCTGCTCCGTCACTTCGAGGGCAGGGTACACAAACAGAAACCACGTACCTGTTTGGAAACGAAAGTGCGCTTATTACCAGTGGGTTGTCTGCTGTCATTTTGTTAGTGGAACCTGAACATTAGTGAAGGTCTTAACATTGTATGTCAGTTGTATTTCCAGTAATGTGTAAAAGAGTATGATCCTTAAGAATTGAGCCCTCCTCGCCTCTACCCTCCCACACAGAGATAAAAAGTAAAATAGAAAACTCTTTCCTACTAAGATTGGAGGGATGAACTTGTCTTGATCTGTTCACGTCAGTAACAGGTTTATATCTGCGAATACCAAGGCAGGAAGTTCTAGGTTTTTAAAAAAACATCAAGAGAGCACCCCATACTATTGAAGTCAGTTTTCTGGGTTTTTGTTAATATTAATTTATTTAAAATACAATACTAGTGTTGCTGCCCAAGGTAACATACCTAAAAATAAGTCTCATTTAACAGTTTTTTTTCTTATGTTTTTCTCTGTAACAGTAACTGAATTGAAAGAGGAAAGAATAGGCTTTAAGTTCTGATGTTTGATTATCTTCGACCCTCTCCTGGTTTTCAGGGGCAGGAGTGTTGTATGGATTAGTATTTATGTGCATGCTTAGGTTAATCACATAACTTCGACTAAAATACTTTTATTCCACTACATAGCAATTCCTTAGGTAGGATATCATGTACCCTACCTAAGATATCAACTGCTCAATTCAGTATTTGTTAATGGAGGCATATCATAGCCTGTATACAATAGGCTGTATTACTGAAAATACAGAGTTGAGTAGGTTGAAGTAAGTCACTGTCATCAAGGAACTCACAGGCCAATATGCAGTTTAATTACTGCAGTTGAAATACTGTTGTGATCAAGTGTAATAGTGTTAATAAATGCTACTTCAGTGTAATAGTAAGTGCCCCCACTTAGGTTTGCACAAACTACAGAACATGGAATGGTTGCAGTTGGGAGTAGGGGACCAGGGAAATGATTTCTGGAAGATCTACCTGTCCTCAGTAAGGAATTGCATTTGTTATTTCTTTTGTTCATATGGTCCCAGGAGCTTTCAGTCAATCATATCCATTATTTAATCCAAGACTAGTTGGACTTCTGCTTGTACTTGTTTTCACTTAATCAGCTCTGATAGGTAATAAAGTACTCTAAATTTTGTCCCACTGAGGTAGCATTTATTAACACTATTACACTTGATCAGAACAGTATTTCAATTACATTTTTCATCTTCCTTTTACATGTGAAGAAAGAGATATTTAGAGATGCTGAGTGAGTTGGCAAAATCTGCCTAGCTATGAGCGACCATGCCCCCAAACATTGTCAACTTCCCACAGTACCGAGCTCCCTCCCGTTGACAGTTAATTTGAGATGATGAATGCAAGGCAGCTTCGGTACCTACAGGTAGCTCCTGGCATAGTACCTTTCTTCTTTAAGGCCTCTTGCCATCTAACCAAGTTGTTCTGAGCCAACAATGTGACTTAGGGTTAGGTACTGGGAACTGTGGGACCAAACATTTTTCTTTGACCTCCTCTCTCTTTGTCGCTTATCTCAGGGAAATCTGTTTCATTGTTTTCATTAATTTAGAATCTAATTATTATTCAGAGATTCAGAAATCTTTTTAATCTGGTTTAGTTGCCTTAGGAAAGTCTAAGGCTCTTAAATACCCTTATTTGAGTAGGCCTAAAAAAGGCTCTAGTTCTTCTGATTCTTCTAATTAAGAGTTTTTTTTTCCCGTAAATGACAGAATTCGTAATACATTATTACATTTTGGGTTGCTCTTTCACATGGTCTTAACTCCTTCGACATTACGTTCTGCTGAAATCCCTTGCAAAAGCGTGGTATTTGCAGAACGTGACCTATGTGCATGTATGTGCTAGCCTACTTCTGTAACATTGGTTTTATGCAAGACAATAAGTTCTGAGTTACGTCCATCTGGTTTATAGGGAAAGTTTTAGTATGTTGCCCATTTGTAAGTTGGAAACTTCCTAAATTTCATTACCAGCCTAAATTCTGATGCCACTGTTCACATTTTTTAAGAACCATTTCAGATATTTATAATCTTAGAACGAATTGTGATTGGATTCCATAGAGATGTTAAGGTCTGTCAATTTAGTTCTGTCATAGTTGACTCTCTGTGCCAAGTCTCTCATACTTCAAGAAGGAAAGTACAGAAATGCTAAGTTATTGTCAAGTATTATTTTTGAGGTATCTGCTCATGTGGATTTAAATCCCAGTTTAAAATGTTCTCTGAAATGTTCAGTTATTATCCAACGTCTCTTAGGCAGTTACTGTTCATTTGTCCCACAGGACTATTAATACATACTTTTTCATTATTGATGGCATGTGGGTAACCATTAGGGAAATTGATAATTCATTCTGTGGTGTCTCCAGCACACTGAGAACAGCTATTTGTGTTTCCATTTCAGCTGTGCAGCTGGCATGGTTTCTTAACTTCCCAGGGCCTAGCAGAAAGAGAGGTACATTGATGTGAGAATGCTGAATCTGAGTTGTGTATTACTTGAAATGTGATTGGAAGCTGTGAATTGGCTCCGGAGTAATACATGAGCACCTCAGGTCCTCATTGTCTCCTGGGAAGTGGATGTCAGCAGTGACACGTGAACTCACTTTCTCCTTCTTATGGTCTTAACTTGAACCTGCAACTGCCCTGACCCTTGTAGGGTTTTTTCCAGTGTGTGAGCAGTTCCTAAAATTATCAGTTTTCAGTGGACTTAAGGACCTTAAAAAAAAAAAAAATATATATATGGCGTAGGACTTTTTAATTGTAAGTAAAATTGTTTGGCCTTTACCAAATTGTTTTGGGGAAATTCATATTTAATTCACCTGCGAGTGAAAACATCTTTTGTTGTTTTCAAAGACCATTTGCTATTGACTGAATCAGTAAATCAGATATACAATGTCCAGTACAATGTACACGTTTGTAATTAAAAACAATCAGAATTTAATTTGTGGGGCATTTATCTGTGATAAAATGTTACCTGTGAAGAATAATAGTTTATCTAGTTTGCCCTCCTAGTTATTAGGGCAATAGTTAAAATGCATCCACTCGCATTATTTGAGTTTTAATTTCTGATATATTCAAGTTGTTATTCTTTACACCTAAGTTTTGGATTAAATATTACTAAGTAAAAATCCTTAAATATATTTATAATAGAATGTACAAAGGGTTTACATTAATGTACATCTTAATTTGAAAGAGGCAAGTTTCTGGGGAAAATTTAATACAGTTATGTAGTTAGACAATATAGAACAGTGGTTCTCAGACTTTTTTTTTTTTTAATTTATTGTTGGAGATTCATTGAAGGTACAAGAAGCCGGGTTTTGCTGATTGCATTTGTTAAGTAAAGTCTCAGATCCTTTCAGTTTGTTGTTTTGTTTTAGACACAGGATCTTGGTCTTTCAGGCTGCATTGAGCTCATTGGCTCTCTATAGCTTCAAACTCCTGAGCTCAAGTGATTGTCACTCTCCCACGGTCACAGGCCCAGTTCCCAGCTTCCTTTACATTGTAAAAAATTTTTGAAGTGCTCCAAAGAGTTTTTGTATATTTGGATTATATACGTATTTATTGTTAGAAATTAAATAGAACTGGGACTTTATAAAATACATAATTTGTTTAAAAATAACCAGTAATAAGTGCATTAACTATTAGCAAAAATATCATTTTTTGTGAAACAACTATAATTGCAGAAAAATAGGAGTATGACTTTTTTTTACATTTTTGAAAAATATCTCTAATGTCTGCTTAATAGAAGACAGGCAATCCTCTGTGTGTGAAACATGAAGAAAATCAGGCTCATACACATTTGTAGTTGTCCAGGGGGTAACATAGATTTATTTGTCTGCTGAGAGAATCGTGGAGATTCCTATTCCATGGTATTACTCTAGCACTCAGCAGTGGTAGTTCCTTAAAAGTCACTTTACCTTGTGCCATCTGTAACCCATGTCTCAAAGAAGTTTTTTCTCTGTTACATTAAAATCTATTGGTTTATTTACAATGAAGTTTTTCCAAATGCTGACACATAAGTTAATATCACCACCACCAGCACAGCGTCATCTGAAAAGTCTTTAATAGTTGGTACACTACTGGCAACTTCATTCATTTTCTAAAAATTGTCTACAACATGTCACCAAAAAAAAAAAAAAAACCTTATCCAGCTCACAGTTCTGCTGTGTTTCAATACACAGCACAAGTACGTTGTGTATACTTCCCATTTGTCACACTCTTGTCACACGTGAAAAAATGCGTACTCATTGGTTGAGTTATTAATAAGTTTTACTGCTTCTTTAATGGCATTCTTAAATAAAACTGGCTTTTGCCCCCTCTTTTACTGTGAGTTCATAGTGATAAGAATACAGTGACCTCCACACACCTGGTGTCATTGCCTTGATTCTTGGGAAGACACAAGCAATTTTGTCCATCATTGCTTGTGCACCATTAGTACAAATGTCAAATGGTGAACAAGTAAATAACTTATTCATATTATTATGAGTATAATATTGATCTCATGGACTTCATTAGAGGGTCTTAGGCACCCTAAGAATCTATAACCACCTTTTGAGAACCACTGGCATAAAAAGATACCAGAATCTCCCTGATGTCTTTCTATGGGCCCTTAAAGTTCTCCAGTTTAATTGTTCTAATTTCTCTACACTGTCCTTCCCAACTATTTATTTGGATTGTGCTGAATACTTCTAGATCCCGTGAAAAATTGT